GAGGTGCTTCTGGCCACTGCCCCCTCCTGGGCGGTGTTTGCAGCCTGCGCCCTGGGCGTCTGGCTTTCTGGTGTCTGGAAGCCAGAGTGCAGGGAGACACAGGCGACTTGGGCTGCCAGAAACTGAGGTTCAGAAGAGAGAGGGTTGTACCCTTTTAAAATTCTAGCCAAGGAAGGGTTCTCCGTCCTCCAGGCTGTCCTTGCAGAAAGCGGAGCAACACTGAGGACTTGTCCCCTGATGGCAGTGCGAGCCACGGAAGAATCCAGAGGGAACCAGACCTTTTCCCCAAACCAGAGCTCCCTCTGGGCTCGGTTTGCTCCAGGCCACGGCCACCTACCTTTCGTCTTCCAGGCTAGAAATCTCAGACGCTGCCAATTCTGTTTAATCTTGCAAGTCTGTGCTCAAGGTCTGTCATTTTTTCCTTTGAAATAAAGCTCCAATTTCCTCTGCCAGAGTTTCTTCACACAGCGGTGGAATCTTATTCATCCTATTATACAGCCCTCCTGGGCTAACACAGTGACAGACACATGGCGGCAGGGACTCCCTAAACGTGTTTAGTGAATGCCTATCAGATTCCTTCCGCTCCCAGGACCCTCTCCCAATGTTACGGTCCAAGCGAAATCAGATTGAAACAGATTTCAGGCATCTTTGAAAGGAAAAAGCTAGATGGGATGACCGTATGTCGCTTATAAGGGGGCAGTTTCATTCCTCTCCCTGCTAGTTGCCTTACAAAGGTGAGTCTTTCTACATCCGTTCTCCCTGTGTAGTCTCTTCCTGGATGGCAAACCTCTACTGGGTGTCTGTCTGTAGACAACTAAATCCAGTATGAACTCTCCCAGCCACGGACTTCCATGTCCTCAGCCTGCATGTCAACACTTCTTATTTGCTACCTCCCAACTCCTATGAGCTCATGACTGTGAATGTGTATTTATTTTTAACTTTATCTTATAAAAATGGTAATAATTAGTGGTTAAAAAACCCCTCAGCGTATAGGAAGGTACAAGGTGAAAAGTAAACTCGCTGCTCTCCACACTCCCATTCTTCAGCCCCACCCTCAGAGTCACCACTACTGAGAGTTCTGTGGGTCTCCTTCCAAGAGGTTAAAAAAAAAAACCACAAAAAAAACAAATAAACATCATTTAAAACCACAAGTGAGCTCAGACAATATATACTATTCTGTAACTTACTTTTTCAATTAACTTATCTTGATCCCTTTCCACTTTGTACACGCACATCTCGCCCGCTTTTTATGTTGGCTACTTGCAGTGTCCTTGCTTGGATTCTACACAATCCATTAGGGTTGTTGGACACTTGGTTATTTCCAGTATGTGAACTGTGAGGGTGTCTCTGAAAGAGAGAGAATGCATATTTCTATCTGAGCCTTTAATTATACTGTTCTCCCAGCCCCTCCTTACCCTCCTTAGAAAAGCCGTCCTGTTATTCTCCCTTTGCCCATCTCTCCTGTTCCCAACTTGTACTCAGGATAAACTCAGTACCTAGACCAGTGGTTCCCATTGTGGGGCACACGCCCCACAGAGGGGCAATTTGATTTTTAAGGGGGGCAATTCGAGAATGAGTTACTAACAGTGAATTTTTTGCATTTCTTATAGCCCTAGGGGCCTCATATACAGTATATAAATATATAGTGACATTTTTATGCATTTCGGTTCTCTATTATATATTTTGAAACTTTATTTGCTATTTCTTTTATATCACTTCATATTATTACTAGAGGCCAGATGCACGAAGTTCGTGCATGGGCTAGGTCCCTAGACCTGGCTGGAGATCAGGGATGATCTGTGAGGGCACTGGCAGGGCGATGGGGGGGTGGGGTCCTGGCACCCACCTTGGCCGGCCTGCAGGCTGGGGGCAGCTCCTGCATTGAGCATCTGCCCCCCTGGTGGTCAGTGTGCATCATAGCGACCAGTCTTTCTACAGTTCGGTCAATTTGCATATCAGGCTTTTATTATATAGGATTTTTTTTTTTAACAATTTCTTAGTGATTTCTTCCTCAGTACTTCAACTGTCCTTTTGTTCTTTTATGTTTCTTGTTCATGGATGCCATGTTCTTTGGAAGCTTGTTTAGACCAAGTTAATGGCCTTTTAGACTTCCTCCACGTGAATAGGAGTTCACTTTTTGAATAATAAGAATTATAAGTCACAGGGGGGGCATCAGGATTTTAGAGATGCTTAGGTGGGACATGGCCAAAAAGAGGTTGGGAACCACTGACCTAGACATTAGCACTTAATTGTGCAGGTTCTGTGTCTACCACCACACTATAAACTCCTTAAGGGCAAGGATGTCTTTTATTTCTTTGTATCCACCCACTATTAGGAGCTCTTGGTTAATTGATGGGAAGGCTGACAGAGTGTTAGGGCCAGGGGTGCCTGTGCTGGTTGAGGAGACCATCGTAATTAATTCCTTTCAGGCGGATGTGACTGTAAACATCTTCTCTGTATTTCTCCTATAGCACTCATGAATCCCTCTCTGCCTCAGCGTCTTCTCCCACTTCTATTGTTAAGAAGCATTTTCAATCTTCAAATCCTTGAGTTGAAATTATAACCAAAATAGTGAGAAATCAAAGAGGAATTCTCTGCAATCCATAATCAGGATACCTAGAATGGTGACAGTAGGAAAAGACGTTGGTGTGGGAGAGGGTATCTTCTTTTTTGGATCTTCCAGCAAATCGTTAAACATCTTTTCCTGTCTGAGTGTAACAGGCACTGGGATTGGGGCCTTAAGGGGGCTGCTGTGGGATTGATTGTCAGGCCAGAGACTGACACCACCTAGTGGTCAGCTAAAGAAGTGTAATAGGGAGGGTGTTTCTGAAGGATATGGTGGAAGATGGGAAGAGACCAAGATTTATTGAGCTACTATTTACCATGTACCAATTCACGCAATGGGTTTTACATGGATCAGCTCACTCGAGTCTCATAACCACCTTATGGCATAGGTGTTATTTCCAGTTTGTAGATATGGGACTAGAGCAGTGGTTCTCAACCTTCCTAATGCCGCAACTCTTTAATACAGTTCCTCATGTTGTGGTGACCCCCAATTTCATTGTTACAAATTGAACATAATTAAAGCATAGTGATTAATCACAAAAACAATATGTAATTATATATGTGTTTTCCGATGGTCTTAGGCGACCCCTGTGAAAGGGTCGTTCGACCCCCAAAGGGGTCGCGACCCACAGGTTGAGAACTGTTGGACTAGAGGCTCAAAGAGATGAAGGAAATCTGCCCCAGATCACAATGCAGATTGGAGCCCAGTTTTCATACATGTAATAAACATTTATTAGGTACCTCAAATGTGCCGAGCATATTGGTAGGCACTAGGGACAAGAAATGGAAATACAAAGTCTCAGATTTCAGGAAGCATATAGGTTAGTGGAGTTGTGCGATAAGATGACTGACAGTTATAACACAGTACCTTAGTGTCTATAATAAAGGCAAGTACAGATGGCCATGGGAACCAGGGAAGGATACTTATTCCAGATAAGGGGGTCAAAGCACAGCAGTGTAGACGATACCAGGCTACATGTTGAAAGAGAAGAAGGAAGTGACAGGCAATGGCAGGAGGAAAGTGTGTTTTAGGTTGGTGGGCAAGCAAAGGCATGGAGGCATGAGGACGTTTAAAACACTTGAGGAAGCTTTCCGATCTGCCATCCATGGTGGAACTGCCACCAAGATGCAGGTTTTTGTGAAAACCCTTGTGAGGAAGACCATCACTCTCGAGGCTGACCCCTTGGATACAAGAGAGAATGTAAAGGCCAAGATCCAAGATAAGGAAGGAATTCCCCCTGATCAGCAAAGACTGATCTTTGCTGGCAAGCAACTGGAATATGGATGTTCTTTGTTTCACCATAACCTTCGAAAGGAGTCCACTCTTTATCTTGTGTTGAGACTACGTGGTGGTGCTAAGAAAGGGAAGCAGTCTCACACCACTCCCAAGGAGAGTGAGCATAAGAGAAAGAGGGTTAAGCTGGCTGCCCTGAAATACTATAAGGTGGATGAGATGGCACAATCAGTTGCCTTCGTTGGGAGTGTTTTTTAGATGAATGTGTGCCAGAGTTTTATGGCCAGCCACTTTAACAG